AAAAATGGAGATAGTTGAATTTATTCGTAGTTCTAAGGGTATGTGGTGTAACTTGACACAAATCGTAAGAGTAAAATGAAATTATCAATTATTGATTGCAAAGAATGAAAATTAAGCAAAGTTGGAAAGAAGATGATTTATGGATTAAGCAAGATGAATCAATCGATGTAGCTAAAAAAGGATAACTCTTCAATATATGAGTATATGATCTCTCAGTTACCATGTATATAGAAAACTTCGTCCCTACAGAAATAATAACCAACCCCTTTATAGTGGAGGGATCCTACTTTAGATACAATTAAAAATACATAGTGGGAGACCCATGATAAATCAGCTTTTCCATAATTCCTGCCAGGATTTTCTCCCCTAGTGCGGTTGCAACGGCTTTTGTCTATGAGCTCGATATTTGACTCGAGCTCGATACCGACTCGAGCTCTCGATCTTGACTCGAGCTCGATTTTGATTCAGAGCCTTATATTGATTCGGGGACATTGTTGGTCGGTCTCTGCCTCGTAAGCTCGATAACTTTATCATAGTTCGATTTGGATTCGAGCTCGATAATGATATCGAGCTCGACATTGATCGGTTCTGATCCAATGCATTACTATTTCGACCAGTTCGTACGAAGGACTAACCGGTTTTGACTGTATACAATTGGTTATGAATTCTAGTATTGTAGCTTTTCATACTATTATAAATAGCTCATTTATTATCTAGGGTTTTGATGGAACCTTTTGGAGGATGAATTCTTGTTATATTTTTATATAATTGAGCCGTTGGATTTCTCTACTTGTTCAACTACGTGTTTGTACAATTGATTGAATGACCATCAATTAACTGTGCCTACTTAGTGTGTATTCCTCAAGAGAGAATGTGCATTAGGTAGTTGTTGAATAACATCACTCCTAACGTATGTGAGATATCAATACGGAGGGCTTAAAGGCGAGATTAGAGATAACAAAACCTTGGTGCGATCGTAGTGAGCGGTGAATTAGTGCCAGCTAGTGTAGTTCGAGAGAATATATCTAGTAAATTCTGGTAGTTGCTCGAGAGAGAATTACGACAACCAAAGTACTCACGATCGGTAGAGAATAATTAGACAAAATTATAGAAGCCATAGCGGGAAAGATTCCGACAATTGGGGAAATCATAACTCTAGACCTCCTTAACCTTGTCTCCAACCCTTAGTATCTTTAGTTGTTAATTCACTTCTTTAATTTGTTAGTTAATTAGTTAGACATAAGAATCTTAATATTTATAACTTAGGAATTGTTCGAGCATGTCTTCTTAATAATAGTGAACAGTTGTAGCTAAACCCTAGTTTTCTGTGGGATTCGACTCAGGATTCTTAGACCGAATTATATTTGCAGCGACCGATTATCTTTTTTAGGACTAGAGTTGGACGTGATCATAGATCAAGTGAACACCTATTATTATAGGCGAATATGTATTTAAAGTTTATGAGTTCCGAACTTTTCAGCAAATTCATAGTCTATTTTAGTTACTGAATTCATAATTTAATATTTATATACATATTTGATTGACTTTCTAATTAAATATTGGATCTAAGCAGCAACTACCCACATATAATAGTATAATATAGTAGCTCCACCTCGGCCTATTATCGCAAATAATCAAAGGATATAGTGCTACTCCGCACCTAATAAATTAAAATTTTGAATTTGTATAAAAAAAATATATTTTTTCTAATGTGAAACTTTCGAGTAAATCATGATTGTACCAGAATAGTAAACTTCCTTGCACCTATGGCGTTGAATATGAAATACATAAACTTTTTGAGCTCACTCCAATTTGGACACAAGTAGGAAAGTCTACATCAAACAAATGCTTTATGTTAAAGACACTTATGAAAATTCAAGGAAACGACTTAAAAGTCACAATAGTGTTAGACACGCCACTTTTGACTCTCTCTTCTTCGTATGAAGAAGAAAAGACGCAAAAAAAATTGTTTAATTTGTTTCTCGTTTGTATCACATTTTGTTTACATTCTAAACATGACGCATTCAGTGAGAATAAGAACAAAAGACAGTGTGAAACTAAAGACTTCCTTAGTTTTAAATTGTAACTTCTTCAACCTCTAGTTAATTTCAGTCACTTAGGTAGGAATTACTTTAATAAGAGTCCAGTCTACACCTGCATCTTCCATCTTAATTTGTACAGTTTCTATCGTCAGCGAGTTAGGGCTGAAATTTTGGAATTTGTTAAGCTTTTCTTTGGATGAAGACTTCTGGATCTAAAGGTTGTTTCAAACTTAATAAATTTTAAATTATTAAGTTCAAACTACATGTTAATAAAGGGCAGCCCGGTGTATAAAACATTCCGTGTTCACGCAAGGCCTAGGGTAAGCAATGGCGGATCTACATGTTATTTTTGGGTGCTCAAGCACCCATTATCTTTAACGAGATTTAGTAAATTTGTATAGGTATTTATAAAAATATTTAGATAAATATTGAGTGAGCACCCATAACTAAACTCTTTTTTTCTCTTCTTTCAAAATTTTTATCCGTGAGCACCCACGACTTTAAAATCCTAGATCCGTCACTAAGGGTAAGGTCGCACCCTAAGGGGGTGTGATGTAGGCAGCCCATTAGTGACTGATTCCACGGCTCGAACCCGGGACATATAGGTCACACGGAGACAATTTGACCGTTACTTCAAGGCTCTCCTTCTCAAACTACATGTCTATAAGTATCACTTAAATTGATCCTAAATTAAGGGTTGAAATGAAGGGTGATTTGCTTTTCTATTTGAGATTTGATATTTCTTAGATGTGCAAAACAAGTGTGAATTACTTAAGAATTTGAAATATATAAGAAGACATCCTTCTATCAAAAAGGATTACGGACAAAGTAAAACTTTAGAGTGGTTAAGTTAACATTTAGGTAAAAATATTGCCCGCTCTGACATTATCTTTGGGATTTCACGATTTTGTATGCCTGAGTTTTAACTCAAAAGAAGATTTGCAGTTGGATTCTTACATTGACTTATATAGCCTTTTATTTTTTCCTCCCAATCCGTTATGTTGTGGGATTCGCCAAAAATTAAATCAGCTTTTTTTTTTTCAGTGTTTGATAAAGTTAAAAAATACTTAAAATAAGTTAAAATCTGCTTAAAACAAGTCAAAAATAATAAGCCAGACAACCCCAACTTATTACTTTTTGGCTTAAAAATTATTTTTGCTGAAAGGGTAGTGTTACTTTCAGAATGTTGTTTATAAATTTCTCTCCATTTATGGAGAAGATTAAAATTTGAAAAGGTTATGGACAAAAAGTTTTAAAGTTCAAATTCTATCTATGTCCTACATTTTAAGGGTGCACCTTACACAGGTTAGCGTGCGAATAGTTTCAATATTTTTCCTATTACTTGATTTGAAAACCTAAAATCATTAATAAGGCTTTCTTTTTATACACACTAAATAAGACTCTCCACTAGAAGTTTTTATTCCATTTTAAATTTTAAAACTCTCGCAAGTTCATTTCTTAATTTTAGAATCTTATAGTTATTCTTCGAGATGTCCAATGATAATAAATATTTAAGGAAAGTATCTTAAAAAAAATCATTTATAAATTACGCAACAGTGTTACAACCCCTATAGGACATGACGAAATAATAGTTTTGAGGTATCCTTAAATAAAATATGCAAGCTTGCTAGCAATAATAAGTATGTCATGCATTTCACAAGTGAAGCATCAATGAACCACACGCTATATATGGTTTTCTTCAAGTGCAAAATTGAACACAATAATAGGAATAACTATCATATAATATGAGTATATTTTTCTTAATTTATTGGGAATATTTTAGAATCTCTAGATACGAGTACATGTTATTATGAATCACTTACTTTGGTTGTTGGCGCACAGAGGCGAATTCAAGATTTTGGAAAGATGGGTGCACTATTACAAACAAGTAAATCTATGATACAAAGTTTTACGGGTACAATCGTTAGTTCTTACTATTGCATCCTTCACACTTTTAGAATTATAAGTTCAAATTATTTTTTTTAATAATTATTTTTTTACCTCTATATCTTTGTTCATTGTGGAAAAATATTGGGATCAGTTGAACTCATTGACTATATGCTACATCATTCACTGCTACTAGCTAGTTTTAATATACATATTTCAGTTAATCATATAAGATTTTATGGAGACAAAAGAAGAATAGAAATTTCAATGCGTGAATTTTAAAATAATAAATCAAACAAAAAAGAAAGAAAAATAAAAATACTTGATTAATACGCAAAAAAAAAAATGACACCAAAAATATCCATCCCTGGGCACCGATTTCTATAAAGAAAAAGAAAGAAAAACAACAAGATTGAAATAAGACTTGAACTCATAATCATACTTAGATATGTTCATCTAACAATCATCGCATCATATGATACTTTGAGCTTGTGTGTGCACACATGTATTTAGGTATTTTTTAAAAATAGTATAACATTACTATACAACAACAACAACAACCCAGTAAAATCTCACTAATGGGGTCTGGGGATGGTAGTGTGTACGCAGACCTTACCCCTACCACAAAGGAGTAGAGAGGTTGTTTCCGAAAGACCCTTGGCTCAAGAAAACAAAAAAACAAAAGGACAAAAGGAGACAATATTAGTATCACCACAACAATCATAGGAAAAATAGGAACACCATGAAATGCAGAAGAAAGATGCAAAGCAAAAGCGATAGCTAGTAAATAAGACATGCACTGAAAAACGAAGTAGTAAAACACAACATTATCACTAGCTATCTTAGACAAAAACCTTACCTGGCTAGTCCCACAATGGTACGAAGTAAGTCAAGATTCAACTACATCTTAACCTACAACTCTAATATTCGACTTCCGTATCTTCCTATCATTAGTATAACATTACTATATATTATTAAAAAAACGAAATATTATAGAACGAAGAGAGTAGTTACGTCCTTGTCATAAATGAAAATACATTAATGGAAACACCATAAAGATCTTTGAATTAACTAACCGGATCACTAAACGCAACTTTTAATCAGAAAACTTAACTACTCCATAATTCAACGAAACTAACAAACCTTTTCCATTTCATTTTCGTTGTAATTGACAAACATTCAACTGTGTACACGCGGGAAGATCCAAGGGCCTTTCAGTCATTTCACCAATCCCGCGTCAACAATGGCGTCTTATAGATTTCCAATATCACATTATTCTGCAACTCTCACTACTAAAACCACCATACCTAAACTCTCTCCTTTTCCACCGAAACCAACAAGAACTTTCCTTGTTCCTTTTCCCTCTTTATATATACATATTCACATCATCCCTTATCTCTTCGTTCTAATTCCATATATCCATTTTTCTGTGTGCTATCTTTTTCTACATATTTAATTTCTACAATGGATAACGATAACCCAAGTATGCTCCACGATCCGTTAATTGATTCATCCTCCAAAGGCTATGCATTAAGTGGAAAAATAATGCTAAGCGCTATTGTTGTCTTATTCACCGTTGTTGTTTTTATGGTGGGTCTTCATCTTTATGCTCGTTGGTACCTTCTCCGTCAGCGCCGCCATGAAATCCTCCGTCGCCGGAGAATCCACCACCGCCGTACTCATATTGTGTTCTACGTTGATAACCCTACTTCTGGTTTGTCTGATGCGAACCGGGGTTTAGAACCGTCGGTTCTTAACTCGCTACCGGCTTTTGTTTATTCATCGAAGACTCACCCTGAACAGCTTGAATGTGCGGTTTGTTTATCGGAATTTGAGGAGAATGAAAATGGCCGTGTTTTGCCCAAGTGTAATCACTCTTTTCATTTGGAGTGTATTGATATGTGGTTTCATTCTCATTCTACCTGCCCTCTCTGTCGGTCGCCGGTGGAACCAGCTACCGAACCGGACAACAACCGGGCTGAGGTAGCGGTGACGGTGAATGAAGCGGCTGAACCGGGTTCGAGTTCCGGTTTGTGCAACACGTGTCAGCACCAGGAGGGGCAGAATAGCAGTGTTAATACAACGTCGTTAGGTGGGCGGAGAAAAGGATTGGATCTTACGGGAGTGAGAATAGAGGTACCGAGGAACGAATTGGAAGACGATTTGGAAATGGGACTCAGATTGAGTTCACCGGCGAGTCAATCGAGATCACCGGCGGCTCGGTTATTGTCGTTGAAAAGAATACTAAGTATGAACAGGAAAACGCCCACCGGAGCTAGCTATTCACCTCGGGCCGGAACGAGTTGCGCTGCCGAGTTGGATTTAGAAAGCGGTGGAACTCAGTTCCAAACTCGGGCACAGACACCTAGGTGATAATTAAGAGGAATTTAAAAAATGTCACGCTGTTGGCGTGGTAAGAGGAAAATATTGATTTTTGCAAAGAAAAAAAGACAAGAAAGCAAGAATGACGGACTGTCAGAAAATGCATATGAATGTCTTATTACATGTGGCAATCTGATGTGGCACCTGATGTTGACGTGGCATGTGCTGAAATGAAGGGATGCCCTTTATTACGCAGTCATAGTTGACTTGGGCCTTGAATTTGGGGAATTATTTGACTTGTAGATATGTGTAGGATTAGAGATGTGCAACTTGTAAAGTATGACGTGCAAGAGTCAAATTACAAATGTGTTTATTGCTAAATTCGTTGATTTCTTTTTTGTTTTTTCTTATCTAAAGTATTTGAAACGTTACGCTACATTCCAAATTACCTTCTTTATTGGAGTTGTTCAAGGTGAAAATATCTATTGATGTTGGGTCTGGGGAGTGTAGGTATACGTAAATCTTACCCTTATTCTGGAATAGAGAGGTTGTTTCTGATATACCTTCGGCTCCTTCCTTACAAGAATTCACCATCTTACTCTTGGGGTGACTCGAACTCACAACCTTTTGGTTAGAAGTGGAGCGTATTTACCACTAGAGTTAAAAGCCGAATGCAACTAAGCATCTCTTGAGAATATTTTTTAATTATTTTTGGCTTATTACTTTTTGTGGGCAAGTATGTTCACTTTTTGACAGGATGGTGTTGCTTCTATCTTCTTTTTTTTTTTTTGGAAGACCTATGCTCGTTATGGACAATTGGACATCCTAAGTACGAGATTTATAATCAAATGTTAATACGAAAAAAAGAAATTAATTTGTTAGTACTAATACTCACATCAAAAGAAGAAACGGAAGAAAAAAAAAGTTAAACGTGACCTGAGGTAGGAAGAACTCGCTAGTGGTATATTTGCTTTAAAAAAAAAAGCATCACTGACAGGAGCGGAGCTAGAACACGATCTACGGGTTCGGCCAAATCCAGTAGCTTTTGTCCTAATTTTTTATTTATCTCAAGAAATTCATCAAATATATACTAATTATTAATTTAAAACCCAGTAACTTAAATAAATTAGATTCTCGAACCCATAAACTTCAAATTGTTGTTCCGCCTCTGGTCACTTATATGCTTGAAAGTTTCTGTCGTATCTAGAGCTGCTTATCGGGCGGATTGGGCGGTTAATTACTCTTAACGGTTTGGCTTAACGGTTATCGGCTTTTAAATGTATTAATCCGCTAGCCACCCGATACGATATCGGGCGGATTGGTATCGGTTTAGCTCTTATCGGGCGGTTATTGGGCGGTTTATCGGCCTAATTCAATCTATATTGCATGTATTAATTGTTTGCTGATCGCCTAACATACAAATTCAGAATAGGAAATTATACATTGAGTCCAGANCCCCCAAACCGATAAGCCGTTAATAAAAAAAATTCAATTTGTTCCCCGTCCGTTAAACCGTTAAACCGATACCAATAAGCCATTAAGCTTTGGTTTCGATTCGATTTTCGGTTTCGGTTTGGTTTTGAACCCCCCTAGTCGTATCCAATAATTGTATGTCGACTTAATAACACATTCACCTAAATAGAATGCAAGTGCAATTTTCAACTAATCCAAGCAATATAGGAATTTCGTGCATATGAAGTTCATTAGTATACTATATATTGCAAATTACTTGCTTCACTCTGAAGTGGATTTTATTAATTTAGTGTATTGCGAAATACTTACTCCATTTGGACTAAAATTTTAGACTAACTAGCTAAATACTCGTCGATTTCTTTTGATTATTTCTCTACTCGTCAATATTTCGTGCTTTAGATCTTCTTTTATCTAATTTAAGATACATTTTGATTTGTTTAAGCTAAGCTTTCTGACATTACTATGGAGGATAAGCATTAACGTGTTATACCTTCTGTTTTCACTTTTCATCACCAAATGCAGCACCAAAAAGGAATACTCCTGTTCTATTTCATTTATCAATTTTTTTTTTCTAGGAGCTTTTACGTTTCTTTAGTATAAGCAGCATTATATTCTGAATTTAAACTAAATGGATTTTAAAGTTTTTATTTTTAATATAGATTCAAAACTTAAATCTTCATACCATCCGAGGAGTGATCCCTCTCATACTTTCCCCTTTTTTAAGATAAGAAAGAAAACAATAAGCCTGTCAACATTGAAACTTTCGCATTTTGCTGCTATTAGGTAAGTAATACCGTATCCAAGAGTCCGCGCCTATATAGTGAGGGTGCGTTAAGCCGAGTTGATAAGCGAATACGGCTGACTTACTTTTCTTATGTTTGTGGAGGGAACCTCATATTTTTACAAATTTTCACAATACAGAAAATGATGGGTTCAACTGAGTTTACTCCAAAAATTCTAAGTTCGTCTCTATATAAGCCGATTTATTGATAGGCAACATCCTATGAGGAAAACTTGAAACTCAGACTTAGAACTAATATATATACTGTCTGACTACAGTCACAAGTGATTTTTCATTTTTAAAATGTTATATTGATTGTACTGAAGCAAAACTAGTTGTAGAAGTATTAGATACTTGTACTAAGGTGCCTTAGAGGTTGTACTCTTATTTTAACTTAACTCAGGTTGTTAGAGTTGTAGTTAGTTGACCATAGTTAGAAAGTTAATTAGGTTACTGTATATAACCGACTATTTCCTTTCTTTGTATTCAGTTGAGTTCATTTTCGATACAAATGGAAGTGAGCTGAGCTCTCAATTCTCTCTCTGTGTGTTTCGTGATTTTAATTGCTTTCTTCTTCTCATCAGCTTAACATGGTATCAGAGCAGTAATTGAAATGATCTAGGGATTTTGCTTCCGATAGTTGGTAAGGAAATCGAGAGATTCTTCTTCAAAGCTCGCAGAATTTCTTCGATAAATCGTAAAATTGAAACCCTAATTTGGAGAGATGGTGAGTTCTGATGCCGGAACTTCGGTTTCAAGCATGATCGATCACAATCATCCACTTTACCTTCAGCCGTCAGATTCGCCAAGTGTAATTCAAACCGGAATTGTCCTTACAGGTATGGAGAATTATAGTATTTGGAGTAGAGCAATGAAATTAGCCTTAGAGTGTAAGAACAAATTAGGCTTTATAGATGGCTCTGTTTGGAGGGCAAATGGTGGATAAAGGACTTGAAAAATAGTGTGATCGATGTAATGCATTGGTCAGATCATGGATTATGAGTAATGTGAGCAAGGATTTGCTTAGTGGAGTGATGTTCCACACCGATGCACACGTTGTGTGGGATGATCTGAAAAAAGAGGTTTGATAAGGTGAATTTGTCTAGAGTTTATCATCTTCATAAGGAAATTGCAACAATGACACAAGGCGTTTCCTCTGTTTCGACCTACTATTCGAAAATGAAAGACTTATGGGATGTGATTGACTCTATTATGCCTATACCTCATTGTTGTGATAAATCGAAGGATTTTGTAACTCACTTGAGGAGCCAAAGACTGTTACAATTCCTCATGGGATTTAATGATGGATACAGTCAGGCTTGAAGCCAATTTCTCATGATGTCTTACACCCTTTGTCAACCAAGCTTATGCACTAATTTTGCAAGATGAAAGTCAAAAACTAGTTGCAGGTAGAGCTTACAATTCAAATGAACATATGGAGCCAACTGCCCTTTTCACTGCAATGAATGGATTACAGAAGCAGAGAAAGTCATCTGTGTTGTGAATTTTTGCAACATGAAAGGACACACGAAGGATAGCTGTTTCAAGCTGATGCAATGTGAGTTTTGTCATATGAAGGGGCACCTCAAAGAGAACTGCTACAAGATCATAGGATATCCTGATGATTTCAAGGGAAAAAATAAGGCTAATGCAGTAGGAGGAAACTGGAGCAGTGGTGAAAGCACCATACCTCAGCACGCTGGAAACAGACCACAGGCACAAGCACCAAACTTTACACAAGAGCATTATCAACAAATCTTAAATATGCTGAGCAAATCTCCAATGACTGAACACAGTGCAAACATGGTAGGTATGGTTTCTTCAATCAATGAGGCTGACTTAAAATGGATAGTAGATACAGGGACAACAAATCACATAATTAGTGATAAAAATACTTTATGCAATGGTACAATGGTAGAAAATTCTGAAAATGTGCAACTCCCAAATGGAGAGGTTGCAGCCATAACTCAGATAGAGAATTATCAGTTAACTAGAGGTGATCTACTTGAGAATGTGTTGTGTGTGCTAGCATTTAAGTTCAACCTTTTGTCCGTTTCAAAGTTGACAAAGAGCTTGAACTATTATGCCACTTTCTTTCCTGACTTCTTCATATTTCAGGATCTCTTCACTAGGAAGGTGAAAGAGATAGGTAGAGAGGAAGAAGGTTTATATGTTCTACACTCTCGGAGGAAACGAAGTGTACAAGTTAGTAAGAGGTCTATGGCAGTGACAGAGACAATAGAAGCAGATACCTGGCATAAAAGGATGGGACATGTTCATATGTCTATATTGAGGAAGATTACTAAGTTTAGGAATAAAGTTAGTTTCAACATTGAGCATTTTGATGGATGTCCAATAGCTAGGCAGACTAGAATGCCATTTCCTACTAGTGATAATAAATCTATTGAAACTTTCAACTTGTTGCATATGGATATCTGGAGTCCTTATAAAGTGCCTACATACAATCGAATAAGGTATTTTCTTACAGTGGTTGATGATTTTTCTAGATGGACATGGGTGAACTTCATGCACCTAAAATCTGATGTAGTTACTATACTTAAAAACTTCCTTAGTTTGGTTCACACACATTTTGGAAAACAGGTTAAAACTTTCAGGTCGGATAATGGAACTGAAATTTTTAACCAGAATTGTGCAGAGCTAATCAATCAACATGGATCAATTCACCAAAGTTCATGTCCACACACACCACAATAAAATAGGGTGGTGGAGAGGAAACATAGAAACATCCTTGAAACTGCTCGAGCACTTAGATTTCAAGGTAATCTACCAATTAGATTCTAGGGAGATTGCATTGAGACTGCAGTTTACATTATCAATCGAGTATCATATTCAGTACTTGGAAATAAGATGCCATATAAGTTGCTTTATCACAAACAACCTTCCTTCTCACATATGAGAACTCTTGGTTGTCTTTGTTATGCAACCAATATGCTGAGAAGGGACAAATTTGGACCAAGAGCTGCTAAAGCAGTCCTACTGGGATATCTGCCCACTCAAAAAGGATATAAACTATATGACATTGACAACAGGACAACATTTGTGAGTAGAGATGTAGTCTTCTATGAATCAATTTTCCCTTTCAACCTTGTTTCTCAGAAAGACTTACCATCACTCCCTCAACAAGTTCATTATGATTGGGAGTTTCCCTCTTTTGATGACTTACAACACCAGGGTGAAATTGAATCTACTCAGCAGCAAAACCCACCATCCTCACCTATTCACATTTCACCTGGAGATGTTGCACCCTACCAGGAAGTACAGGAGGATGCAGGGAACAACTCACATGGTGAGAACGCCACAAGCTTAGTAGAAATTATGCATGTTATGGAAGTCATTGCATCAGAGATGATTCAGACTCTTACAGCTTTTATAGTGGTTACTACACATGCTCTTACTACACTAAGGAAGTCTGAAAGAACAAGCAAACCTCTCATATGGCTCAAAGATTTTGTGAGTTTGGATAAAGGGAAGGCAACAACTAGTAATTGCCTGTATCCATTATCTAATATGCTGAGTTATGCAAGTCTCTCAGTTGCATATCAGAGTTATGTAGCAATGATGTCAACAGATGTATAACCTAAGTCCTATTATGAAGCAGCCAAAAACTGTAGGTGGGTTAAAGCCATGAAGGCTGAAATTCAGGCTTTAGAAGATAACAATACCTTGGCAGTAGTACCATTTCCTAATAGTAAAAAGGCCATAGGTTTTAAATGGGTATACAAGATCAAGTGCAAGGCCACTGGTTAAATAGAGAGGTTCAAAGCAAGGCTAGTAACAAAGGGCTATAGTCAGAAATAAGGGATTGATTACCAAAAGACCTTTTCACCAGTGGTGAAAATGGTCACTGTCAGAACTGTATTGTCCTTGGCAGCAATCAATGATTGGTGTATCTATCAGATGGATGTCTTTAATGCATTTCTACATGAAGATCTTCATGAGAAAGTATACATGCAATTGCCTCAAGGCATTTCTCATCCATCTGACAAGCATTTGCCTGCAGATTAGTTAAAACTCTCTATGGGCTTAAACAAAGCCTCTAGACAGTGGAATATCAAATTAACCACTGCCTTGCTTGATTTTGGCTTCACTCAGAGTCACCTTGACTATTCTTTACTCACAAAGAAAGTAGAAGACAAGTTAGTCATTGTTCTGATTTATGTTGATGACCTCCTCATCACAGGGAATGGTCCTTCTCTGATTCAAGACACAAAAGATGTGTTGCAAAGCAACTTTAAGATAAAGGATTTGAGAGATCTTAGGTACTTTCTTGGCCTAGAGTTTGCAAGAACTAAGGATGGCATCCTCATGCATCAGAGGAAATATGCCTTAGAATTGATTTCTGATTTGGGGATAGCTGATTCCAAGCCTCTTGGTGCTCCTCTAGAGCTAAATCTCAACCTTACTTCTAAAGAATTTGATCAATATGTTGGACAATCTCAGGACACCTTGTTACCTGATCCAGGAGGCTATCAGAGACTTATTGGTCGACTACTCTATCCCACCATCAACAGGCCAGATATTTCCTATGTTGTTCAATGCCTTAGTCAGTTTATGCATGCTCCTAAGGCTTCTCATATGGAGGCTGCTACTAGAGTGGTGAGATTTGTGAAGTAGGCTCCTGGCCTTGGTATTTTCTTTTCTACTTCCAGCTCTAATCAGCTTCAGGCCTTTTGTGATGCTGACTGGGCCTCTTGTCTAGTTAGTAGGAAATCTATTACAGGCTATGTGATCAAATATGGGGACACTCTTATTTCATGGAAGTCCAAGAAGCAATCCACTGTGTCCTGAGCTCTGTTGAGGTAGAGTACAAAAGCTTGGCCTCCACTGTTGCTGAGATTGTGTGGCTTACTGGCTTGTTCAAAGAACTCAATGATCCACTCTCCTTGCTAGTGCCTTTGTATTGTGACAGTAAATCAGCCATACAAATTGATGCTAACCCCGGCTTCCATGAACGTACTAAACACATTGACATAGATTGCCACTTTATTCGTGAAAAGATTCTTCAAGGTCTCGTGGAGACTGTCTACTTAGCTTCTTCTGAGCAGCAGGCTGATCTTCTAACCAAGGGTCTCAGCAGACATCAATATCACTATTTATTGTCCAAGCTAGGGATGAAGAACATCTTCATTTCCCCTAGCTTGAGGGGGGTGGGGTGTAGAAGTATTAGATACTTACACTAAGGTGCCTTAGAGGTCGTACTCTTATTTTAACTTAACCCGGGTTGTTAGAGTTGTAGTTAGTTAACCATAGTTAGAAAGTTAGTTAGGTTACTGTATATAACCGACTATTTCCTTTCTCTATATTCAGTTGAGTTAATTTTCGATACAAATAGAAGTGAGCTAAGATCTCAATTCTCTCTCTCTCTATCTCTCTGTCTCGTGATTTCGGTTGCTTTCTTCTTCTCATCAGTTTAACACTATACTTGATTAATTTCATTTTTTGGGCCTCATTTATAAAATATAATTATTGACATTTCTTTTTACTCAAAATAGGAGAAATAATTTAGCAGGAGAAGGGATTTTTTTTATTTTAATAAACACGATCCAAGAAGATCATATGTTCAGAAAGTATAGCTGCTAAAATCTGAATAGTCAAAGCAATGAACCAATCAGAAATGTGGAAGTCAATTATTATACATCTAACAGTTGCGTTTCAATATCGCGACGTGTTGCTCACGTTACTAACGTGACACCAACAACTCCACCATTATTGGGGGCTTTACTTTGTTGAATTTATTAATGAATTCACACTTAATATACACACGCACAATGCATTCAAACATATACCTGCCTTGAATTTAAATTTAAACTTTACGAGATTAAGATTGATTTTTTACCTCCACCTTATATATAGCGTTCTCTGTCTTATTTCAAATGACTTTATAATTTGGTGAGCCAAATATTTTATCATTTGAAGATTTTTTAATATTTTCTTAATTGTAGAAAATCGTGGCTTATAGTATTTTTAATGCTCAGAATTTTTAATAATTTAATCTTTCAGATTACAAACTATCTTTTGAATATGTGTATTTTAATATTTTCTTCCACTTAAGCTACATAATAGAAAAGATATCCAAGTTAACACAAATCAAATACTTCCACCCTTCTACCGAAAACCCTGTCATTCCTTTTGAGATGGAAAGAGTAATTTTGACATTTCCATAGATCTGAAAATATTAAATACTACTATATGTAAAAAACATAGTTAAATGGAATTTTGACCCTTCACGCGGATAGTCTTTGTTTTAATTGCTCTTCAAGTTTGGCTCGTAAATTAGAATGGAAAAGAAAATAACAATTGACAGTTACAAGAACGGCGGGGAGTTAATAGAACCTGACGGGCAGGGACAGATACTTGTATTGATAATGCCAAAGTCGGCTTCAACATTTTCTTAAGGCGAACATGATATTGAGACGACTTGAACATACACCCCAAACGTGAAAAAAGAAAGTACTGTAATATAAGCAATGTAATGTTCACAACCATTTCAGGAACATTCTTGAAAGTTAAACTTGATCTTCTGTAGAAACAATGGTTACCATTCGTTTGTTGGTTTAATCTATTTAGTTCTACACACACACTAAGGTACATAACTGGAAACTCATGACATATTACACTCGTTTCTCCATAGAAATGACCAACGAAAATTTAGCTCTGAAACACCTAAAAAACTGTTTACAGTCGTCCTTGCTAAGCACAACACTGAGCCTAATTAAGTTAAGAAGAAAGAAATATTACAAATTTCGGCAGCCAATTGGTTATTTTGTTATCTGGGGAAAAAAAATTGGTTATCGGTAATCATTACAAGTACATCTTGAGAGAGAGAGAGAGAGAGAGAGAGAGAGAGAGAGAGAGAGAGAGAGAGAGGCATGGCATACATGAAATTAGAGCATATATACATCACAATGCAGTATGTAATTCAACTGGTTCCACTATTCTGGACTTCCTTCTTTTCTTGCTCTCAGGCGTGCACCTAGTTCCACTAAACTTTCCAAACTTCACCGCAAAACTGCAAGCTGAACTGGGTGCTGAAGGCGATGAACCAAGAGGTGCTTGGTTTTCTTTACCTTTGTTCTTTCGCTTTCTATACCGATTGGAAATGGAAGAGTTTGCTCTCTCTTTCGGAGACTGCAGCTGCATCTTCGGCCTATTATCACGCCTAAGGAGTCGAACATAGAAGGGATTCACAGCTGTGTAACAAGTGAACTCGTTTGTTCTACCCTTTTCCAAATCAACATCACCATTATTTACCTGCAAGATTTTATGCAATAAACAAGAACATAAAAGGATAATACTGCCCATAAAAGCCACTGGTGAAAAAGAGAACTTTATGTTCTTCTATCTACTTTTTAAGCTATAGCTGAACCAAAGTTGTAATTTCTCGACAAGGAATTATACCAATTGCAGAAGTGCAGAAAATGTTCGAGCAACATCATGCTTCTTTTGGCCCATGACAACATCAGAAAAAGACATCGAGTTTGTACTATTCCCTTCCAGCGATAACTTGCCCAAAACCCGAGCCCCATATTCAGCAATATCAAAGGGTGGATGTGAGTCCTGTATGCAAACACTGGAGCAGTAAGAACCGTAACTCAACAGAGAACATAAGAATGAGTACTGTTGGACTACATACTTGTTCCTCCAAGTTCTGCTCAATTCTCTGCCTCCATGTTGAAACTCGAGCAGCCAGTTCACTCTGCTTTTCAGTTTCAGCAAGGTTATCTAGAAGAGCATCCTAGACAAAACATTAGGTTACAAAAATGATCAGTCAAAACCAAAAAAAAAGATCCAAATAAGTAGCAAATAACATTTTTGTGAATTTTTGGGAAACTAATAAGCCATTGTGGTCAAAGGAGAAAAGCATGAAAATGTGTCAAGGTCTAAAGGATCTTTAAGTGCAACTTCAGAGCAAATTCCTTCCTAATAAAGGAGCAAACAAAAAAAAACTCCCTCCATTGATACTTCATTGTTAGTCTGTGGAACTTTAAGTGCGAATTTAGAGCACATGCTTTCCCAAAGAACGAGCAAACACAAAACATATGCCACCATTGATACTTCATTTTTAGTATGTTCTAAAACTAGACACGTTTCAATATTTGGGAGCGCTTTAATCTTTACATTTGCCCTTAATGAAATGCTCTAATGGCTTCTTTTGTTTCCCAAAAACAAATCTCTAATGGAATGACATGACATCTTGAAAACCACTAGAGATATTTTTGGTTTCTTATATTTTTAGCTTATGAACTTTCCTTTATAAATTTCTATTTCGAATCAAATACCATCACAACAGATAAATCAGACGAAGCAAGCATATATATGTAATGCAGGAAAACAAGCTATAAAATGCAAACGGCAATTATATATGGGCAATGAATCGAAAGAACTTGCAATTAAGTGAATTATGCAAACTAAAAACCATACAAATCAAATTCAAAAACCTTTTAAAGTTTCTTATTTAGATGCATGTTTAGTACTCCTTTTGTCCCAATTTATGTGGCACGCTTTCCTTTTTAGTCTGTCCCAAAAAGAATATCACATTTCTATATTTAGAAATAATTTGAATTTAAAATTCCCTTTTTACCGTTGATTGAGATGATTTATAGCCACACAAATGACTAAAACTTGTTTTGGACCACATATTTCAAAAAAATTTCTTTATTTCCTAATCTATGTGCCCGGTCAAATAATGCCACATAAATTGGGACGGAGTGAGTAATCACCTTTAACAATTAACGTATAGCTTGCCAGCAATATTTCCTTGTCTAGTGGTACCCTTCTGTAACGACTCGGCCGGTCGTTTTGAGTATTTTAGCCTCGTTCCCCTATTTATTGCCTCCTCTATGTTATATTATGGTTATGTGACTTGGCAGGGTAGTTGGTTTGGTTTCGGGTGAGTTTCGGAGTTGAAAGAGTTCACCGGAGTTTGATTTTGTGTAGGCGATTACGGAATGGAGTTTTGATGATTCTGACAGCTCTGTCTGGTAATTTTGGACTTAGGAGTGTGTCCGGATATTGATTTGCGGGTCTGTAGGTCGTTTTGGCTAGAATTGACAAAAGTTGGAAAGTTGAAGGTTTGGAAGGTTGAGAAGTTTGACCGAGGGTTGACTTTGTTGATATCGGGTCCGGATTTTAGTTCCGGGAGTTGGAATAGGTCCGTTGTGTCATTTATGACTTGTGCGCAAAATTTGAGGTCAATCGGAGTTGGTGTGGTATGAATCGGCGTTAGTTTTGGAATTAGATTGTTCATGGATTCAATAGATTTGAATTGGGTTGCGATTCGTAGAATTGATGTTGTTGGATGTGATTTTAGGCATCGGGTAGGTCCGTTATGTGATTTGGGACTTGATGGTATGTTTTGACGGGGTCCCGGGGGGCCCGGGTGTGATTCGAATTGAAATCGGGTTCATTCGAACTTAGGTTGATTGCTGAAGAACAGCTGAGTCTGGTGCAATCGCACCTGCGCACTTTGGGCCGCAGGTGCGGCACCGCAGAAGCGACCTCTGAGCCGTAGAAGCGAAGTTTGGTCAGCTGCTTAAGGACCGCAGGTGCGGTCAGGAGTCCGCAGAAGTGTGCTCGTAAAAGCGAGCCCTTGTCCGCAGAAGCGGAAGTGCAAA